AAACCTCCAACGGAATGCCTTCTTTTATAAGTGACTTTGGTCATGGTGTCTTTTCTTGGCAATATAAAAGTAACTAAGACAGCCTTTGAGAGTACGATAGGTCCTCCTTGTCTGTGCCAGATGAAGAGTAAACAAAAATTGGAAAAGGCCAGCAAAGGCTCTCGCTGCCAATCCTGACCATATTAGTTAGCTTATCAACCCTCAGGACTCAGGTGGTGCAACGAGAGAACTGAGTCCTAAAAGTTGCCTTCTGGCCTCCACAAGCTCACTGTGACATGTGCACACAGACATGCACACATATGCATACACACACACACAAATAACAGTAATAATAACAAATAATAATAATAATAAAAACCCTAGCACATTGTAAAAACTTCTGAATAGCTCTCACCTCTTACAGTGATTCTCAAGGCCTCTGAAGACTTGTTATTTCGTCCAATTATCCCCCTGCAGAAGTAGGAGCCACTGTCATTTTGTGTGGCTTTTGGAATGTATAATTCAGAATTCCGATGGAAATACTTCTTGCCTCTGCCATTCTGTAAATAGGTGACCTTATATACAGGTCTGCTTTGCCAGCTGTGGCAATTCAGCTGAATGGGGTCCCCCTCCTGGAATTCAGGCCGCTGAGTTGTTTGAAGCAACAGCCAGCCTGAAAGACAGATGGGGGTGTTAGAGGGGGGAGCAAACGCGGAGTGCAAATCTCTTCTGAAGGGGATGATCTGAACCATTCGATCCCGGATGCAATGGAAAGCCAGACTGAGAACTGTCCTACACCGCGCCTCAGAGCACACAAAGACCTTTTGTCTAAGGGAGAAAAGACACACACACATACACACACACACACACACACACACACATACACACGAATGAAAAACTAAGAATGAAGGAGGTGAGAAGCAAAGTTGAGGATGTCTGCAGGGTCCCTATATGCTGGGTTCACACTTGCTTTGGCAGCTAATAAGGACTCACAGCGTTTCTAAACCAAAGGGTAAATGTTACATTTAAAAGTGGCCTTCTAGGGGCTGTAGAGATACTGCTCACTGCTCTTCCGGAGGTCCCGGGTTCAATTCCCAGCAACCACGTGGTGGCTCATAACCATCTGTATAATGCATTCCGGTACCCTCTTCTCATACATGCAGGCAGAACACTGCATACATAATAAATAATAAAAAAATGGCTTCCTAGCTGGGTGGCAGCGGCACATGCCTTTAATTCCCGGAAGGCAGAGGCAGGCATTTATCTCTGTGAGTTCGAGACCAGCCTGGTCTACAAGAGTTCGTTCCAGGACAGACTCCAAAGCTACAGAGAAACCTTGTCTCGAAAAAACCAAAACAAAACAAGAAAAAACAAAAAAAAAAAAAACCTAAGTAGGAGGGTAGTGGGGGCAGGAAGAGTGGGAGACTGTGACTGAACATTGCTTTCAAGAGAGAAATGACCCTGCTCTCACATCACCTTTAGTAATCAGACTCCACAGAGAAAATGTGACACCAAGGTAGGAGGAGAGTACCTGGGGAAATAAAAACTATGTGTTGGATAAGCACTGAGAGCAGGTGCAAACACTGATGCCTGAAGATTAACAGGAGTTACTTCTTACTGATTTTTGAAATACAACCCTAATGATGTTTATAGTAAGAACAAAGCAAAAATATTTGGTGGCTTTTAAATTTGAGTGCTCAGTGCTAAACAAAATTGGTAGAACGTTTTGGTGAAGATTCTTTACCAGGAAGACTTGCCAAACAGAGGGTAATTTCTAATATTTAATAAGGTAGGTCATTTATCAGTGAAGACAGTATACAAGAAGCAGAGGCAAGAAAAACAGGAGTTTAAGACTAGCTTAGACTTCATAGAGAGTTCCAGGCAACTCTGAAATATACTGTACTTATTACTAAAGAAATGCCCCCAAATAAACAAGATTTGGTTATCAAAAACATCACAAGTCTATTTAGCTTCTTTTTTCAGCTAAGGAATGCATTTTGATTAGCATAAGATTGTGATTGTTATGGATGTAGTTTGGTGTTGGGGAATAATACTCTTTTATTAAAATAGTATGTTTATTTATTTGTTTTTTGAGACAGGGTCCCATGTAGTCGAGGCTGTCTTGAGCTTGCTTTGTACAGCCAAGGAGGTTCTCATGCCCCTTGATTCTCCTGCTCCGCCTCCTAAGAGCTGGGCTACCAGGTATGCTTTGCTACAATGGCTCGGGGAATATTCATGTTTTATCTGCCTTGCTGTGAACACAGCTAATACACCGACAGATTAATAACCTTTAGCCTTGAGATTTATTTTCTTTCCTCTTTTTAACTTTCATTTTTATTTTTAGACAGGGTCTCACTATATATCACTGGCTGTTCTGAAACTCACTATGTAGACCAGACTCACAGAGATTCTCCTGTCTCTGACTTCTGAGTGCTGGGATTAGAAGCATGAGCCACCATGCCTGATTTTTCTTTTTTTAAAAAATGTATTTGTGTGTGCATGTGTGTGTGTGTGTGCATGCCATAACACATTTGTAGAGATCAAAGGGCATCTTGCAGGAGTGGCTTCTTTCCTTCCACCCTGTTGTTTCTGGGAACTGAACTCAGGCTTAGCAGTCTTAGCAGCAAGCATCTTTACCACTGAGCCACCTCCCTAGCCCTGAGACTTGATTTTCCTGTTGCCTCCTCTCAGTAATTCACTTCGTTCACTCTTAGCCATCTCTCACCCAACAAGATAGTTAATATTCCTTCTTGAGGCTCTGCCGGGTGAGAGGCAAAGGAGCCACAAGAGCCAGCTGTTTGGGAGGCCTAATTCAATGAAACTCCACTGTAGATCCACTTCTGGGTCACCTTCTTCCCCTCTGGGCCTCTCCATCAACTCACACTGCACAGCTGTGTGTATAGAGTAAAACTGACAGCATCTGATGTGATGCCAAGGATACTGGGAAAGACCTATGCCTGAAAAAAAACCAGTCCTCTTACCGGCTTGTAATACCAGGATGCTGCTAATTGACACAGACATGTTCATCCTATGACAAATGTAGAAGAGTGTGTAGACACTCCACACAGCCGTGTTGAGAACTCTAGAGCCTCAGACCCACGGGAAGATGACAAAGTCTTCTGTAGGGGTGAGACTTAGAGGGACAGCCTGAGTGTGGATGTTGACAGTGTGTGTAGGAAATGGCCACCACAGCCCCCCACCCCCTGCGGATGCTTACGGCCTAAAGACTGTCTCTAAACCTGCCTCCTTGGCCATCTGCATACAACAAGAACCCCGTCTCCTTGTTTATCTGTATGTAGCAACCCAGACTTCTCATTCAGTTGTATGTAATAACTACACTCCCTGCTCTGCTGTATATAACAAACAAGCTACATATAACAACCACGTGAGCTCCAGCATGGTATTGGTGGGAAGATAGTACAGACAGACACTAAGTGGTGTGGTCACAGATGGTGAAAGATCTGCAATGGAGGAGATCCATTGCATTAAGTGTAATCGTTAAGATCCTAAGAAGAAACTCATCGGTCTAACTAACGAGTGTTATGGAGCATGCGCTGACCTCAGAGCACCTGCCTGTGTTGTATGTATTCTGTGAAAATGCCCATTCCTGGAATCATTCGAAGTCACCATCCTGTCTGCACCACATGACAGGTTTCGAGGCTCTGCTTAGGGCTTACTTATAGCAATAACTTTAGTTCTGCTCCCATCTGATGGGACACACATCATCTCGCTTCCTTATTAACCCAACCGCAGGGCTTTCTCCAAGTGATTCAGGGTCCTTCTTTCCCCTCAACTCACCTACATGAACTTCGAGGTTCACCGGGTCACTGAGCACCGAGAGGGCTGTCTGACACTTGTATTCTCCACTGTCCTCCACTCTGACCGTACTAATGACATAGGTGGTGTACTGGTGTGGGATGAGGCTTCCGTTATGGAACCACTTGGTAGAATTGTCCCCAGGGGAGTAGGTGGCCTGGCACCTGAGGGTCACACTGTCATCCTTGAGTACCCTGACCCATTTAGGGTCTAGGATCACCACAGCCTTTTGGAAACCTGAAGAGAGAAGGTGGAGTAAGAACTCAGTGATGAGTGGGCCCGTCACTGGCACTCCCAGGGTAAACACGGGCAGAGTGAACAAACCCACAGTGCTCTCTGGCCATCTATGACTCACTCTTAGGGTGTCTAGGCAGGGAGGCACTTGGTCCATATTTTGACCCTTTCTGTAGTTGGAGAAAAACCAGCCAGAGAGACGTAAGGCTGATCCCAGCTGTGTTAGGGAATTGCTCCTAGTCCCCAGACATGCCAGACACCACACAGTGATCCTTTCCCAGCTTTCTCTGACCTTTGTGTGTGCCACACTCAATCAGTCTAAGACCCTGAAGCAAACTCACCAGCTTGAATGCCATAGGAAACTGCAAGGGAAAAGAAAAGCATGCGTCAGGTGTTGAGCAGGGCGGCTCCCTCCCACCTGTCCTGCAGGAAACTCAAATCATAGTTTTTGGACATTGTTTCCTTTACCCTGTTCCTCATTAAAGCTGTCAGGTTAAAGGTAAAGATTGCATTTCCCTAAATCAAGCCACAGAAACCACCTTGAACCTAAGCCCCACCTGGAAAGAGAAAAAAACAAAAAGGGAAACCTGGGATGTCAGACTGGAAGACGCAAGCCTCAGGAACCACCTGGTCCTGGCTCTTTGATTTCCACCTAGGGAAATGGAGACCCAGATGGGTGAACTCACAGTCCACTCCTGATCAAGCACAGATCAAAGCCAGGGTGCTGCTTACCTAACAATCTGTCCTAGGAGTTAAATCTGGGCCTGACCTGAAAAGAGGGGAGGTCTCTGCTGAACACAGACCACCCTAAGCTTCACCTTCATCCAGACTGAGCCCCACTTACCCATGAGTAGCAGAGCTGTTGATAGTAGTCGTGCACACATGCTGCTGCACTGGGCAGAAAATGTCACCACAGATATCCGGAACCCTTAAGGGGCCTATGTGACTAGAAGAGAGGAAGTAAATAGCTTTTCCCCAACCTTCCCCAACACCCCTGCCATCACCCCCACCCCGTCTCTCTCACTAGTTTCATTTTCCAGAAATAGCCTTTGATCCCTAAAACAAAGATGAGAGAGCCCTGTGGCAGGGCAGGAGCAGGAGGGAGAGCGCCCGGAGAGGATGCCAAGAGGGACGGGCCCACTTGTTCTACGGATGTCACAGTCTAGCACCTGGGGGACACACACAGAATCTACCAGAGGTACTTTTGGCAGTCTCAGGGTACCCAGGGCCAAGAATGGGACAACATGACCTGGTGAGGGCCTTCACAGCAAGGGGCATGTCCTGGATCCCTTGGCTCTCTCCTGCCTGGCCCACAAACAGACCAGGGTCTGACTCTCTCTCTCTCTCTCTCTCTCTCTCTCTCTCTATGTATATATATATATACACACACACACATACATATATATATATGTATGTGTGTATGTGTTTATATTTAAAACAGTAATTTAAACTTTTTCAATTCACTAGTATCCCTTTTCAATATTATCTCAACCTACACTTTCTTTCAAAATGTCCGCCCCTGGGATATATAATCTAAAGGAGTTACCAGCTTCTTAGTGTGAATCTGACCACTAAATGATCATTGTATTGTCGTTATTGTCGTTGTTTTGAGTTTTTGAAGGCATTCACACAGGAAGGAGTGCTCTGCAAAGAGGAAACGGCGGGAGGCTGGGAGACTCACAGAGAAGTGGGCAGGCCAGGAGAGGACAAGAGCTCCTTAGACCTTGTTTTCCCCTGTATGGTCCCACTGGTTGTAGAAAGGAATCGGCCAGAATCCCAAGCATACATACTTCTCTTATGGAAAAAGCAAGATGAAGGCATGAGCTCTGAGGGCTTGGCCGCTGGTTTCGGGATGAGCCCCAAACCTTGCTGCTGCTGTCATGTGTGCAGTAAAGGACTGAAGGAAGTGGAGGTTCCCCTATTTGATACACCACTATCTTTTTTGACACCACACTCAGGGGATTATCTTTTTCTATTGAGCTTGAAGGGGGACCAGAGGTTCCAGTCCAGACCGCTTGGCTCCGTGTGTCGAACCTGTGGGGAGGCAGGACACGGTGACGGCAGGAACATGCAGCAGAGGAAGTTGCTCAGCTCACGGCAACCAATAAACAGACAGCTGAGTTAGAAGTTCTACGTTCCCTCTAATGTGGCTGTGGCTGTGCTCACCACAGTAAGTAGCTCAGAGTCACTCTGTCTTTAACCATTCTCTGGGTCTGGGCTGGTCTATAGTTCCCAAGGCCAGAGTGCAGGGCTCCTCAACAGAAAACATGGAGGGAGGAACAGGAAGTGGTAAGATTGGTTAACATCTTCTCATTCCCACCTCCTCCCTTACATAGTCACACTTTGTTCTCCCTCAACCTCCTCTTAGCAAAGCTAAGTGTTGACTCCCAGACAAAAGAAATCAAATGGCACTGTTTGGGAGGGCGGTTCCCCTGGGGGTTCCTAGGACTCTGGGCAGCAATCACCTGACTTAGGGGAGCAATTCAAACAGGGCAAGTGAGGGTTAGCAAGGGTTAAGTGGAGTAGGGGCTGCTAAGGGGGCCTGCTGACCCCTGGTTTGGGCTAAGGCCCTCTCTACTCCAGAACCATAGAGAAATCACTTCTCAGGGCTTGCTTTTGTTTTGTTTTGCTTGTGGGTAGAGCTTGTTGATTGTTGCCCGTTGCCATCCAATCCTACTCATGATCTCGCTGAAGCCCCTCCCTAACTGGCCCATCGTTTAGATGTCTAATGAAGGAGGACAGTGGGCATGATCCAGACAGTCATTAGAATGCTGTTCAATAAATTCACGTTGGGTAAAATACAGCTGAGGGTCTGGAAGTTTCAAGCTCGTTGCTACAGTGCTTTGATACCTGTCTAGAAAACCTAAAACAGGAAGAAAAAAAAAAAGATGTTGGTCAGCCTGTGTGCAGTCTCTAAGGCAAAGGGTGTGCATTCCCAGGCGCTTTCTGCACTTTCTTGGTGGCTTTCTGCTATTTGACTTGTGACATAAGGGTCCACTTTACTTTTCTTTCTTTGAGTTGTGGTTTTGTCTCTGACTCATCTTTTCTCCATGGTCCTCAAATGAAGGAAGAAGTTGTTAGTAGCAAAGGCATAGGCTAGATAGGAAAGAGAGGAGAGGGTGCGCAGGAGAAGAGAAAGGGGCCCAAGATGGATCATATCTTAGTTCTTTTTTATTGCTGTGGTAAGATACCACCATGAGCAAGGCAATTTATAAAAGAAAGGCTACTGGAGCTTGGAGCTTCATTGGGTAAGTCTATGACCTGATGGCACGATTGGCAGCAGGTGGCATGGTGCTGGAAAAGCAGCTGAGGGTTTACATCATTATCTGTAGGGAGGAGGCAGAGAGAAACACTGACAATGGCATGGACTTTTGAAACCTCAAAGCATACAGCCAGTGACATACCTCCTCCAACAAGGCCACACCCCCAATCCTTCCTAAACACTTCTACCAACTGGGGCTCAGGTATTCAAATATGTGAGCCTATAGGTACCATTCTCAATCAAACTATCACAGGCAAGCAGCATCCAGAGGGATTTTTATGAGTTCTTGTTGAGTGGTCCTTAAATGGAATGTCATTAGGGCTGTTGCTGGATTCACTTTACAGTGTTGGGTATGGTTAAAGTTCTTACAGAGAAGTGTGATGCACTTGGGATGTCTTGTACAGAATCTTTCTGTGGACACGTGATTATCTTCACCTTCAGTTTTCTCTCCTTCCTCTTTCCCCCTCATTCTTTTCCTCCTTCTCCCCTTTTTCCTTCAATGCTGTAATTAAAAAAAAAAAAACCTGTGAAGAGAAGTCACGTCATGCAACAAGGCTCACATGGGAGATTTATTGGAAGAGGAAAGAGAAGGGGAGAGAAGGGGACGGGGGGGGGCAGAGACCAGTTCTTGGAGACAAGAGTGGCAGAAGAGAAAAAGAAGGGAGGAAAAGAGAGAGAGAGAAAAAGAGTAAAAGAGAAAGAGGGGGGATGGGCAGGCCCACCTTTTGAAAGGAAATGTAGCAAATGTGCACAGGGGGTGCTCTTGTGGCTGCAGAGAGGATGTATCTTCTCAGAACCTCAAGGGCAGGCCAGTGCAGAAGCCTAAACACTACCATTCCTCCCTTTTGTTTATTATAAAAAGGTGAGGAGTTAGAAATGGGTAGCGGGTGAGGTGGGGAATGAGGATGCCGTGTTCTCAAGACTGCTTCATGCTGACCAGGGGGCATCACAATCTCTGGGGGTCCTGAGAAAACTGGGGTGCCGGCCACATCTTGGGGTATCTGGCTGTTTCAGTTCACTGTCCAGGCTCTGTGGAAGTGTCAGGCGTTGGCAAGATGCTGTTCGAGGTGGGTGCAAGTCGACTCCCTGGCGCTCACAAGAACTTAAAGCACCTGCTCCTTTCCCATCACCTCAGCAGCACCTGGGCACCTTCTTTCTAGCCGATTCGCCAGGACACACAGGTGTTGGTAACTGAGGGCAGTCAATAGTCAAATGTGAAACAGAACAAATTTGTACCAAACGGGTAAGGCTGTCTCCTGAGAAGGTAAGGAAAAGTGACAGGGGAGGAATCGCCAGGTCCAAATGGAAACAGGAGCTGAGTAAATAAAAAGAAAGGGAGAACTGGTGTGTGCTGAGCAAGAGGAAGCTGGCTTCTCCATCTACCCGCACATTGCAGCAAACACACAGGACATTTAGAGAGGGAGAGGAGACAGAAAAAGAAAGAGGAGAATTCTTTCATGGAGGAAAGACACAACACAGCTCCCATGAGTGAGCAGAGAAGACCCAAGGGTCTGCAGTTCCTAGCATCCCAGGAATCCAGGGATCAGACTGTGTGGGCACAAGCAGTTTCAGCATGTCATCACGCAAGAACAGGGGCCAAGGGCTCTGAGCCTGAGAGAGACACAGTCGCCTGGTACCAGAACTTCGAGAAAAGCAAGAAAGCGAGGAGAGGACTATGCTGGAGAAATGCAGCTTCACATCCAGGGGAAGGATCAGAGGTGGAAACCCTGCCAGAGACCCCACTATTGGTATTGAATGGAAGGCAAAGACATCAGCGAACAAGAAAGCAGATTTGCTGCAGGTGGAAGAGAGCGGACCAGAAAGCAGTATCTAAGGGGTATTTGGACCAGGTCTGACTGCAAAGGTGGTGGAGTTTAGAAGCCCTTAAATCGAGCTCTGAATGCAAACGTTGGAGGAATAGATGATGAAAACGTTCCCATGAGAGAGGCAGATAAGTGAGGGTCTATAATTCTGGCACCCCAGGGATTCAGAAAGGGTTGATTTCAAGATGGCACAGGCTGCCCCAGTGATTTGTCAAACACAGAGCAGGGGCAAGGGTTCTACCTAAGAGAGCCATGGTTGCCTGGTACCAGGGCTTAACGAGGCTGAAAGGTGAGAAACCATGTCCAAGAGATGAGTCTTCACTTGTGGGAAATGGTCAGAGGTGGAGAAGAGGGGACTCACCAATCATGTTGGTGTTGGATGGAGGGGCCCAGTGATCCATTAGTTGGAGAAGCGAGGCTGTCATATGAGAGGACTGGTTCCAGGGGCCCAGTACACTTCAGACTGCCGGTGGGCAGGAGGAAGTGCCAGAAGAGCCTTTCCTGGTCAGGGAACCAATGTTGTACCTTAAAAAAAATTCACAAAGAGAAGGGGCAGAGACTTGTTCTTGTCCCTGGGGACAAGAGTGACAGAAGAGAAAGGGAGAGGGTGGGGAGAGAGAGAAAAAAAAGAAAAGAGATGGCAGGTGGGCACCTTTTAAAAGGGAATGTGTAGATGGAAGTTTCTGACCTGCCTGGTTCCATCCACAGCTGTTCAGTCCCAAATAGACACACAGAGGCTTATATTAATTATAAACTGTTTGACCTATTAGCACTGCTTATTATTAACCAGCTCTTAAAACTTAAATTAACCCATAATTCTTATCTACGTTTAGTCACGTGGATTGGTGCCTTTTCTTAGTAAGGCATTTTCATCTTGCTTCCTCAGTATCTTGCCTGTGAGTGACTCTCTGCCTTTCCTCTTCCCAGAATTCTCTTAGTATATCCACCCCACCCATACTTCCTGTCTGGTTACTGGCCAATCAGCATTTTATGAAACTAATATAAATAACAAATCTTTACAGTGTCTAAGAACATTGTCTCACGGCAGGAGTGTGCATCGGGGGTGCTTTCAGTGGCTGCAGCTGAGGATGCCTCCTGTCAGGACCAAGGGCAGGCCAGTCCAGATGCCTAAACACTAACATTCAGTACTGGGATATAAAGAACAGCACGAATTATTGAGATCACAAAAGTCAGTCAGCTACAATTCCATCACACTTACAGATTCCTGGAGAGGCATCACCACCAGGCAAGAATCTCAAGTGCTCTGAGGACAGCAAGGGTGCTTTGGAAACATTACACATGCACAGAGAAGGTGATGGCTGATCCATTTAGGTGAAGGGTCTACATGGGAGAGCATGTGCTAGTTGGACCACAACAGATGAAGGAGAAGCCTAGACTTCTTGTTCATGTGACATCTATCTGCTCTCAAATGAGCCTGGGTCAAATCTCAACTCCAGCCACTTACTTAACCCGTATAGGCCTCAGTATTGATGATAAAGTGGGACTAGTAATAATAGCACTAAGGCCAAGGAGTTGTAAAGTTTAAATGTGACAATTCAGACAGAGTTGTTGCTTTGGTATGTGGAGCCTTACTTGTTGGAAGAAGATGGGCAGTTTTCTATATTCAGTTGTATTTGTCATTTTTTCTCATTACTATGACTGAAGGGTTTGTTTTGGTGTATGGTTTCATAGGACACAGTCCATCATGGCAGAGAATGTACATCTGCAGGTAGCACCACGGCCGTGGCAGCATGCAGTTGGGACTCTTTATCTATTCATGACTTGGCAGAGAAGAGGGCAAAGACAGGGGGCCTGGAAGCAGGGTGAGGCTATACACCTCCCCACAGTGAGCCAGTTTCTTCAAGTGGATAGACTTCACTTCCTAAAGGTTGTGCCACCAGCTAGGGGTCAAGGACTTGGTGACATTACACATTTAAACCGTAACCATTGCAACACAGCTGACCTCTGAAATTCTTTTAGACCTTTGTGCTTCCACATGACTCATCTCATCGTGGACTGCAAGGCCTTGGAAGGAGTGGGGTTTTCTCATCTTGCTTAATGACTTCATTCCCAATATTCAGCTCA